CAGGACGCTGCTGGGGCTCCATTTTCGAGTCGGTCTTGTCAGGTGTGGGGCCGTGGGGCGGGCGTAGGGCAGGCCCCCCCCGCCTTGCAGGAGGGTATCTCCGAGCAAAGGCCAGGGTGAGCAGGTCCCTGCAGGATCTGGGCTGTGGTGGTGGCGTTTGCTGCGTGGTGAAGCAAGGCGGGAGCATCTCACCAGGGGTCTGTACTCGGTGGTCGTTGTGGCTTTTTCACCTAGCTTTTTCCACGGAAATCCCAGACGCATTGTGGTTCTGAGCATTTACAGGCTGCGGTGGGTCCAGTGGTCATGCTGACATCACCCAAATCAAATGAGCTAGCATTCAAATGTTTCAGTATTATCTCGCTTTTCCCTCCCCACAGATCTTTTGTTTTTGAACTATAGTGTGTTCAGGAAGTTTCAGCTAACTTGAGGCACCTACTGCTGGGCTGTTCAGTTAATTACACTAATGTTGTTAATAATAAATAATAATGTTGCCTGTCTGCATTCCATACTCTTCTTGCATTTTTGGAATATGTTTTCTGCAGGAAGGTGGTTTAATGTTCGGAAACTGATGGCAAAGCCTTGTTTTGAGATATGATCCTGAAAGCCCTTTTCTGTGCAAGCAGACCTGCTTACTGGATTAAGTTTTTGTAGTTTTATGTCCTGGATTGGTATTTGAGATTCTGAATTGCGCCCAAAGCCATAGGAAGTGGTGGAAAATCAGTGAGGGAAAAGCAGGGAGTAGGAAAATAACTGCATACTGCTGTTGAAATACAAGTTTCATAAGTAAGAGAACAGAGTTTGCTTGTTGTATTTTCTTTTCCTCTTTCTTGCCTTCCTCCTTTGCCCTCTTCAGCTTTTGTGTCAGTGCAATACTTTGTACTAGTACAGATTTTGCAGGCCAGTTGTTAAATACATTGCTTAAGTTTTTTTGTCTGTCTACCTGTCTTTGGGATGACTGTGCCTAATGGCAACAGGACCAAAGTCATAACTGCAATAGAAGTGAGTTCTCTGTAGTTTAGAAGCTATGTATATGGATGACTTAAAAATTCACTTACTTTTTTTCTTCTTGTTCCAGATGGAAAAGAAGAGTTCATGGTTTCTGGTTTGCATATTAGCAGAGGCTGAATAGGCATAAAGGAGACTATAGTGCGGGTGAGAAGTGTCGAGCCACTTGCAAGGTTTTGCTCGTAAACAAGAAGAAATGAATCCTACACATGATGATCCAGTGTCTGGAACCATTTTTGACTGGGACTATCTCTTATGGGAAGTTCGTTTAACGTTTTTAGCTGCTGGTTTTTTAATCTACTTGGGAGTATTTCTTCTGTCTCACTGGTTGTCTTCATGGTTGAGTACCACTTATCATGCCTTGTATGCAAAAGAGAAGGTGTTTTGGAATATGGCAGTCACACGTGGTGTGTTTGGACTTCAGAGTTGTGTTGCTGGGTTATGGGCTTTGCTCATAGATCCTGTTTTTCATGCTGACAAAGTGTATTCACAGCAAAAGTGGAGTTGGTTTAACTGTTTAATAGCTGCTGGATTTTTCTTGCTTGAAAATGTAGCTGTTCACATGTCCAACATTATTTTTAGAACATTTGATGTGTTCTTGGTAGTTCATCACTTGCTTGCTTTTGGTGGCTTGGCTGGTCTAGTAATTAATGTGAAATCTGGACACTATCTGCCTTTGATGGGAATGTTGCTGGAGATGAGTACTCCCTCAACATGCATTTCCTGGATGCTTCTAAAGGTAAGAATGTGATAATTTTCAAATTATGTTTGTAACAGGTTTTATGCATCTCACTTGTCCATAGCTAATCTGTGTGGTTTGTCTAGATAGCTTTTCAGCAAAACTGTGTTCATCTGACTGATACCCATGTTATTGTGATACCTGCTTTTGTTGTGATGATATTTCTGTAGTCCTCCATACACGTTTCTGTGTAATGCGGTGTGCATGTCAATAGTGAGATGGTATAGATTCATTCTGAGTTTGGGATGCTGCGTGCATGCGGAATATCATAGCTGTACATGGAAAAAATGCCTGAGAATGTGTATATGTGAAAGCTGGATATTTGCATTAGTTCTACAGTTTCCTCAGTTCCTTATCTTGAAGTAACAATCTCACTTCTGCATACTTTCTGTTCTTGTTTTTCTAGGCTGGCTGTGCTAACACCTTTTTCTGGAAGGCAAACCAGTGGGTGATGATCCACCTGTTTCACTGCCGTATGATTCTTACTTACCACATGTGGTGGGTGTGTATTTTCAATTGGAATTCTGTGCTGGAAAATCTGGGACTTCTTCATTTTATTGTTTTATTCTCGGGATTATTTGCCGTTACTCTAATACTTAACCCATACTGGACATACAAAAAAACTCATCAACTCCTCAGCCCAACTGACTGGAACTTTGAAAATAAAGCAGTGGAAAATGGAAGATTAAATGGTGAAACACATCAAAAGAAGAGGATATAACACTGAAACAGCTGTTTCTTAGTAGGGTAGCAGAAGAATGCAATGCGAAGTAATTCTTTGGCCATGAACTAGAAGCTTTTGCCAGAAGCTCATTAACACAGTGATTCCTTGCTGGTAGTATTCTGTACGCACCATAAGTATTTAAAAGCATTGTTTGAGTTTCATATGTACATACACATAAGATCTTCAACCTCTTAGTTATGAATTATGCCAACAATTTTGTCAGGTTGGACAGTATTTCATGATTTAGTAGTGACATGCTCTCTAATGGCATCATTTGTCCTAGTGCTTCCAAGTGGCTTTACAGTTAATTTGGCTGTTAAGCTCAGCTTGAATCAAGTTTAGCCTGAATCCTATTTCACATATGTCAGAGATACTGATACTGGAAATTATGTTGTTTATTAAGATCAATTATGACCCAGGTTAGGTATGCATGGATACCTAGTTCCTGTGTGCCATTAAGTCATTCCAGGTGGCTGAATTGCTCAGTGGTAGAATGCAGTCATGGCTGGGTTTTGGGGTTTTTTGTTTGTTTGGGCTTTGTTTGTTTGTTTCTTTTTTCTTTTAAGTGCACTTGAGGAAGGTGATTGAGTGTTCACTGTTGAAGTGAGTTGTAGTTTCCAGGTTGCCCTTGGTACGGAAGGAGTTCCACACAAACATGCATGTGGGGGATGCAGGCGTTCATTATGCTGGTGGTCTAGCTAGGTAATCATAGTGGTCCCTTCTGGTCTTGAAATCAGTGAAATGCAAGAGGCAATGACAGAATGTTTGACTCTGTCTCATCCTTGAAAAGATTGCTGGTTGATTAGTAAAATTATTTTTCTTGTAGGTCTCACATGAGCAGTCATGCAGTTAGTTCCACTAGTGCTCTTGTTAATGGTTCCTTTTATTTTTGGAAATTCTCTTAGTTATAGAGGGTTTTAGAATCTGAGGTGACTCCTCTGTGGAGAAAAGCCCATATCATCTCCTTTAGGAGTTCAGTTGTTCTTTCAGTATTTTTGTTTTACTTCGAAGAATGTATGATGTGACACTAACAGTCCTTTGCTCTTTGTCTGCCACATGACTAAATCTTTCCTTGACCTAAGGAATAGGGTTGCTTTTTAGATAAGGACTTGGCAAATTGTGGCGGATGTTCTCCCACTAACAGTACTGGTCTGAGGCTTGCTGGGTGAAATGCTGGACAGCAGATGAAGGTATAAAGATCACGATAGAAGACAGTGACGCCTAGTGGCAGGAGAATGACAAAGATATTAATTAGTTTTGGCGCACTGAACTAGTGAGATAAACAGCCCCGTCATTTGAAACTGTTGTATAGTGTGACGTGACTGCTACACAGATTTATTTTGCAAAGTAATAAGACTGGGCAAGCCCAAGCTGTGAAGAATCTTAGGTCAAGGCATGTGTTGGAGGCTTTGTGTACTGATCTGTGGTGGAGCATATTGTTTTAAATGTGTAAGGGAAGCACTGTTTGGTGTAAACAACCCCATTTTATTAATTTTTGGTGGCAATGTCTTTGATTTTGTTCTGAGTGAAGGGAGGAGGCTAGTGGTCAGGTTGCCGTGTTCCCTAATGCACTTTGTGTGAGCACTGAGTTGAAGAGCTGCTCTATGACGGAGAGGAAACTTCTTATTGTTAGGTCACAAATGTATAGCCAGACCTTGTGGATAATGATGAAGTGGTGGATATGTGAAATTGCCCATTCAAAGCTAGGCCAAGAGGGTCATAGTAATTTTATACAGCAACGCTATCTCTTACCCTGCTGATATTCAATAGAGAAAATCTAAATTTTGTGTTACTTTCTTATTTCTAAGCAGGCCAGAATGAGGTTGCAGTGTTTTGGCAGTGTCACCTGTCTGGACGCCATCTTGTAGAAAAAAGGCTTCCCTAAAGCTTTAAATTATGTACCTCTCTTGAGGGCTTGTGTGTGGAAAAGTAATGTTGAAAGTACTTTAGAAGAAAGCAGAGGGATGAATTCCTCAGAAACAGAACCCAAATATGTGATCCAAATGCGTATCTTGCAGAATCCAAACCTCACTTGCAGTGTTCCAGGGGGAAGGCGGAAGGATAAGTCGCCAGATATCAGAATGATGGTGTGCTCTATGCAGCTTAAAACTTAAAAGGTTTGGATTTGATAAAACAAGGTAATAAATATAAAAATCCTAGCTACAGAATTCTGAAAAATCCTAACAGAAAATGGAAGCATCAGAAGAGAAATAAGTTTGGGCCAAGTGTGTAATTCTTATAGTGGCTGGCTAAAGGAGGTGAAGTTTCTATGTGCTAAAATAAAAGAAAATGGAGGGTTGGGTTTAGTAGTGAATTTGGGACTGAAAAAGAGATTAGGTGTGGTCCAAGCAGACAGGTGGATAGTTGTGTCAGTGGCACCAGACTTCTAAAGTTTAATATTTTGTATTATTAATTTGTGCAATGTTATTAAGTGGATTTAAAATCTTTTATTAAAATTATTTTTTATCATAATAAGGCAATCTTTTTAGTATGCATCTTAGTGTGAGTTTTTTTTCACGCAAAGACTTGTGGCATATCTTGAAAATCTTTTGCATGTGTTAACGATATAATTAATAATACCTAAGAGCACCTGTTAACCTAAACACTGCTAAACCTGATAGAACAAGAAAGCTATGCAATAAAGCAAATAACAGCACTCATTTTATTTCTGTTGGTTTAAGGGGCAAAGGGATTTTACAGTCCAGCTAGAAATGCAACAGGACATAAAAATACAGACAACCTTTCTTCTTCATCTTGATGGCCTAGAGTTGGAGTTACCAGTTCTGCTACACAGAGCCTTTTTTTTTTTTTTTTTTTTTTTTATTACTCAAGTGTTTCCTTCACTGCCTTTTGGCTGCTCCCTTCAAGAGGATTTTCTGGTTTGTGATTGTGGATTACTGTCTCATTGCTCTGAAACAAGACTGAAAAAGCTCTCTAACTGAGGGTTTTGGTGTCTAATTACTCTAACTAAGTGCTGCTTTTCAACCCAAAGGTAGACTAGCCATAGTTTGTTTATAAATTTTGTTAATGCGAACCTAATCCCAGTCCTGTTGGGCCTCTCTTATAAGGCCTCATCCGCAATCCGACGTAGAAAAATTCACGCTCAGTTTCAGTAGTGGCTGGATCAGGTCACAGGGTGTGCTGCTGCCATGATTTGGAAAACTTGCATAACATGTTTTTGGGTGAATTTTTTGTTTGCCTAGGTGACTGTTGGAGACTTCATCCTGCTTTCTTGTTGGACAAGCTTACTCAAGGAGTACTGTTTGTGTCACCTTTCTGGCTGAAGCTTTTTTTTTTTTTTTTTTGAAAAAAAGCAAACTCCAAACAAACAACAAACTATGATGGGGGTAGGGGTGTTTGGCGTTTGTTGTGTTTTGGGATTTTTGGTTGGGGGGAGGGGTGGGGTGGTGGGTTTTTTTGTTTTGTTTGGAGGTTTGGGGTTTTTTGTTTTGTTTTTAAAGAAGAATGTCTGATCTAAGACACCCTGGCCAGGCATCTGGCTCTTACTGTCTTCATCCAGCATTCCTAAATCACAGTTTGTGTTTGCCTCCATTTGTGTCCTGTCTTGTGTTTTTTCCAAAACCTGTCATTGTTTCCCCTCCCATCCACCAATTTTTCTATAATATTTACTCTTGTGGTACTGGTCATGATCTTGTAGCATTTACATTACTGCAGTGATGTCTTTGTCTCATAGTTCTCAGCATGTACTGTTGGGCCCTTCTTCCACTAAATACCCATGTCCAAATCTTTCAGGTTTTTTGCTTTTTCCTGATAACACTGATTAAATATTGATGTCATGTACAGTTACAAGATACCTTTCTTAACCTCAGGGAAACTCCCACTTAAAGTGAATTTAGAAATTCAAGCCTGCTCTTGTACAATATGACATTTGTTGAATGGTACAGCATCTTTACGCTGTACATAAATAAAAGTATTTTACTGAATAATTGTCTACTGTGAGTTTAATTTATTGATGAAAATAATGCCTATTATTTTTTACTTGCTATTTGTAGCTTAAACACTTTTTGCAGTGCATGCACTAAAAAGATGACTTGTTTATTTTGAAATATTCTGTTAAACTTGACAAAGGTAATGAAATATCCATGAAAATAGCTATAAAACCTTGTAAACTAATGTCCCTTCACCAACATTTAACATATTATTAACATGAGCATGTTCAGTTACATGACTAAAATACTAGAAGCTGCACTATATGTAAGTATATATTAAAAATGGTTAAAAAGCATCACTTGGAAATGACCCTTCTGCCTTGTGTACTTGAAGTCTGTGGTCTATTTTTGCATTAGACTCTTAACTGTGAAGATACTTCATTTGGTACTGCATGGTATTTCATAGTTTAGTATGAGCCACCTTAAATTTTTAAAAAAAAATTGTCTCATTGCTAAATAACAAAATATAATTCTAAGCATTAAATGTTTGTGTCGTGTGTGGTGCTTTGCAGGAATTAATTCCTGATGTGCTTTAGCATTAGTGAGTTAAAGGAAAATAGCATCATTACTGGCATTTTAATTATTCTTATAAGAATGCACTGTGTAAGCAACTGGCTGGCATAATTTTGCTAGCTGCCTCTGCTGTGAAGTCCCCAAGATTAATTGAAGCAGAAGACAGACGTTCATGTGTAAAGCTCCACTAACTGTGGAATGTGTGTGGGTACAGACTGGGATGAGAAGAACAATGCATAATAGTACTTGTATGAATAAAGTCTTTTTTTTTGTAAATAATCTGTAAAAGGAATTTAAATGTTACTAATATTTTACTATTCAGATGTTTTCAATTAATAGGTAAATATATTTTACTTAGTTCTTGCCATACTCCCAGAAAAGTATTAGAGCACACTTAGGCTGACAGTATTATTCAGCAATTACAATCCTTTGATCTTGTGTCGTGGCGCTGGTATTTAAGTTGATAATTTGGAACAAAAAATAAGTGATGGTCATTAATGAAGTAAATTATGCCTGTTGCTCTAGTTGTGAGCCCCCAAATGGGTTTCCGGTGTTGGAATTGACATTGCATGCTCTGGACCTGATTGACTAATCAGTGTGTTCTGCTAGTGGTAGTGTCACAGAGCAGAAGCAGCATGTCGTGCCTTCCTGTTTTCCGTAAGTAAAACAGTGCTGAGTGAAGGTGGAATGACAAAGATAATGATGCAGCAAATGTCCAAGGGCGTAACAGTGTTGAAGGTGGCAGACAGGCCTAGCTTGAAAGAAGTGAGGCCTGCTCACATGTCAACAAACAAGAAGAAAGCAAGGAAATGGGCTGTCCTGTTCCTTGCTGCTATGTCTGTGTGTGTGTGTGTTCTGAACAGTCACTTCTGAGTCCTTAAGGATATGACCTGAGCAGAGAGAGTGGAAATTTAATACTTGCTTTATCAGATAAAAGATGCATTACTTCTTGTCTGAAATATTTATTTCCTCATAGGATTGTCTTTTTAGCTGCCTCTGTTCCTTTGAATGCTTAGTTCACATTAGAGTGCTGTATGAGCTGACGCTGTTTTCACCAAATGTTCTCTGACATTTACTGTAAAGACTAGTGAGGATGTGCCTTGTTTGAGTACTGATAATTGATCGTGGCAGCTCCAGGTACTCACTCAGCCTGACTTTTATATTCCTATTGCTATACAGGTCTGCAAGTTCCCTCTCCTGCTTTGCTACTTCTGCTGCCAAAAGCACTTTACCGTGTGAACACTGCATTTTGTCACCAAAGCTGTGCTCATGAAAGTTTAAGCGTGGGGCTTGCACCAAGCGGGGTCAAAAATATACCTCAGAAAGGCCTAATTTTGTAGAAGGTAGAGGGTTGACTTTCCTACATTTATGGACCATGCATTTCTGCTGGGTAAATGAAGGTGATAACTACGATACCTTGAAAAACAAAGCCATGCAGGTGAACTACAACTGTACAGAGAAGTGGTTTGCATAGAGTAGACCTGGAGCATCTAACAAGAGCTTGATCATCTTGTCTTGTGGGTCATGTTTACAGGAAGACAGTGTATCCTGGAAAGCAGCAGTAGCCTTGCTTAGGAGTCACAGGAAATAAATTCGAAAAAAAATTAGAAGGCTTTGGGATGAGGTAGCTGAGACTGGTTGTTATGTTGTAATGTGTTGACCAGGTTGCATTTGGACATTGAATACATAGACTGTCTGATGCTTTAACTCTTCTTTTTTTTCTCAGCAACATACTGTTTTACGTATCACTGTGACACTGGTTGAAGATAAGTTTGAGGACCTTTTTTAGGACATCAAAGTTCCTAAGCAATGTATTGCCCAAGGCTGAAGGAGCCTACAGTGTGTTCTAATTTACAGTAATTTATTCTTGTATTATCATTGCCTTTTTATCTTACATAATTATTTTTTACGCCTGGAGGCTCTTTTGCATATTTATGAGTACAAATCAATCTGTTCTCTTATTTTCCTAGCCATCCTAATATTTTTTATTTGCCACTTTTCCCACCTGTATTCCTATTTCTTAAATGTTGGCAGCTTTGAGTTGTACATAGTATTTCATATAAAATCTTCTCAGTACCTTGTATTACACTAGTACTTCCTTTCCACCACTGGAAGTAGCTCTGCTTCAGCTGAAGGTTGCATTTGTCTTTCACGGTTGCGTGACCTTAGTGCTTCATCGTCCCCTGTGACAGTGAATTCATTCAAGTTTTTCCCTTCCTCAGCTTCAGAATGGAGCAGAGCCATCAGAGCACGGCAAAATAACCAAAAGTAGGAATTTTGTGTTTTAGAAATAACTTGTGCATATTACTGTACTGGGTGCGGGTGCCCAGGTTTTGTTAGCGGGGACCTGCCGGGCGGCCTCTGTGAGGAGCGGCCGGGGCTGCCCTGAGCCGGACACAGCCGGTTCCAGCCGGTTCCAGCCCACCCACCCCAGGGCACCGCTCAGCCCCGCAGACAAGGCCGGGGCGCCTCAGGGGATAGTGTGTTTAAGAAAAGGCAAAAACATGACACCGGCAAAATGAGGGGTAAGGAAAAAAGTGAGAGAATCGACTCTGCAGACCCGGAGGGGGAGGAGGTGCTGCAGGCGCCCGAGCAGAGATTCCCCTGCAGCCCGTGGAGAAACCCACGAAGGAGCAGGTTTATCCTGCAGGACTGCAGCCTGTGGGAAGGACCCACGCTGGAGCTGGGGAGAAATGTGAGGAGGAAGGAGTGCAGGGAGGAGCTGTTAGCCCCCATTCCCCATCCCACCGTGCCCCTCGGGGCGGGGGAAACAGAGGAGTCAGGAATGAAGGAGTGAAATTGAGCCTGGGAAGCAAGGGGGGGGTGGGGGGTATTTTTACTGTTGTCTTTGTTTCCCACTGTCCTACTCTAATTGTAATCGGCAATAAACAAAATTTCCCCAAGTCGAGTCTGTCTGGCCTATGACAGTGGTTGCTAAGTGATCTCCCTGTCTTCATTTTGACCCATGAGCTTTCCATCTCATTTTCTCCCTCTGTCCTGTTGAGGAGAGGGAGGGAGAGAGCGGCTGGGTGGGCGTCTGGCTGCTGGCCAAGGTCAACCCACCACAACAAGTTATGGCATTGGCTGTACTACCACTTATGTGCCACCCATGACAACAAGGAGCTGATGTAACACAAGAACTCTGGTACTGAGGAATATTAAAATTTAGGAAAATTTATACCTTGTCTGTCTGAATTGGCAGTCTGAGAATTTGACTTGCAAAGACTCCTTGTAAGCAGAGAGTTCTTAAAGGCATTCATGAAAGAAGTTCTAGTGCTGGTAGAACATCACAGTATTATAAAACT